TGAAATCACTTTATAACATAATCATGTGTTCTGGTATTATGACTTGTTATTTCTTTGAATTCTTTTATTTATTTATTTTTTTGCTGTGTAGATATTGATAGAACCTGCTCCACCTCCGATTATAAAAAGTTTAGGTTCTAAGATCTGTATTTCATCCAGACCAGAACTGAGTGTTTTTCTCCTTCACATCTACAGCTTTAGTGTCATGATAAAATAGTTTGAGTTGTGCAAACCTGAAATAAAGCCCCACTATTTATCTTGCTAAATTGGTGATGATAAATACAATGATTCATCCAATGGTATTGATTAATACCATGGAATGAATCATATAAGATTAAATGATAAATCTTTTACGTAAAGATGGGATGTTTAACAGTGAGTTCGTGACTGACCTGCTGAAATCTTCATAACAGAGAAGCTAAATGAGTCTGTAGCTGAAGGAGCTCTTCTGTCTCTGTAACCATGGAGGGGGTGGAATTGATGACCTGTGATGAGATCAGTTTGTTTAGTCACCTCCTGTCCCTCTCTAGATTAGTCTTCTCCAGGTTTTGGTCAATAATTTTTCCAGCCTTAATGATTTTTTATTTCAGTCTGCTGCCATCGCAGACACAAAGCTATTTCCCCCACAAACTTCAACAGCAGCAGGTAACACCTGCCACAACAAACCAATGAAAGACCTGAAATATTTTAGTTCACACATTGGAAGCTCTGAGATTTACTGTATATGTTTATATATATCTAATAAAAATAGTGTTTGCTCATCCCCTTCTTGTAAACAGCACCCGTTTTGGTTTTCCAGTCCAGCCTGTTGTTCAGATACACACCTGAGTATTTGTATGCATCAGTTCAAATATTGAATTATACCAACACATGAGTCAGGAAGTTGAAGCTTGAGTATAAACGAGTTTTCCAAATGAACAGTGACCCTCTTCAAAGCAAAGCAGCCGACAAACCTGACTTCTGTCAGGAGAAATGGAACAAAAAACCTTTTGTGAGAAGCTTGTGGAAGGAAACCCAAAACATTTGATTCAGTCACAAAGTTAAACCAATAATACCAAATACTAATAAAATATGTAAACTTGGGACTTTAAAGAAATTAATAACTAAGCTCTTATTGCTTGGGCATGAATATAGAAATAAAATCCTTTTGGAAATTCTAACTGATCTAAAACAGTAAAGGTTTAGCTCCTCATCCTGTAACAAAACGTCTTTGAAGATTTCCTGGAAGCTCTTTGTTTCTTGCTTTAAACATAAATTGTGCCATTTTGAATAAAACCAAATCATTAAATTTAAATAAATTTGACTTTAAAATAGTGTTTGTGTGCTCCCAGAACCCCATTTTGTGAATTATTCTGATTGATCTCTTTTGTAGCTTAGAAAGTGGTTTGTGCTTATTTTTTTTATTCCCACACATTTCCACACAGTGAGACAGATGTGATAAAACAAGTGATGAGTTCAGAATCAACTTTGTGGTCCAGAATGTGTTGAGCTTTCCTCAGTGCACAACTTTCTGCTAATTTTCTTCCTTGAATAGTTTATGGTTTCCAGCAGATTTTATGGCCCAACATTATACCCAGAAATGAAATTGCTTTTTTTTTTCTATCTCAATTTTATCAGTTGAGATTATCCATTTTTTTCTCCACATTTTTCTGATGTCTTCCACAATTTCACCAATTTATTTACCAAAACGTTTGGCTTTTTCAGGACATTCCTGCTATGACCTCTGGTGTTTCAATAGTTTATGTCTATGTCTTTAACATCCGTACAATCCTTCAAAATGTTTATAAGATTTTACTATACTTTTTACATTTATTCTGATTCTGGTGTTTAAACTTCTTTCAGCTGATTTCAGCTTCATTCTGCTTGTTTTGGGATAATTTTAGCAGTTTTCAGCTATTTTCCAGCAGATTTCAGCTTAATTCTTTTTTTTTCATTTTTTTCTGCCTTTCAGCTATTTTTAGCTTTTTTGTTTTATTGTTTTTTGTTTGTTTGTTTGTTTGTTTTTGCTAAATGAAGTTTTATTCAGCTAAATTTGTGTTTTAGTGGTCATATCAGCTTTTTTCAGCTTCACTTTCTTTGTTTTGTTTTGTTTTGTTTGGTTTGGCAAACGTGCTCTTTCAGTGTGTCAATTCAGTTCCAAATCAGTTTTTTTATTTAGCACCAAGTCACATCAAACGTCATCTCAGTGTACTGAGACCACTTTTATTTTCAAGGTCACAAAATAAAAGGTGAAGGTCACAAGTTAGTTATTTTCTGCTTGTTTTACCTTCTTTTGTCTAATTTTTAACTTTATTTTTTATATTTTGTTTGTTTTGCATCATTCAACTTCATTCTGTCTACTCTATGCTACTTGTTTGCAAATATTTATTGTTTTTTTGCTAATTTTAGCCACATTTCTGGCCTCCTCTGCTTTTTAGACACATTATTGCTATCTTTCTGATTTTACACTTTTGTTTTCCTGCTTTTAGCAAAAGTCAGCTGTTCATATTTACATCACTTTAACAGTTTTGCTACATTTTTAACTTCATAAGCATCACACTGCATTTACACAAGGAATGCAACGTTTTTATTTTCGTTTCTGCAGGTATTTTATTTCCATATACTGTGTATATGTAGACATCACCCCATTGTTTCAATATAACCTGTGGTAACTCTTGAAAAGCTGCTGGAGTGAACCACAGATCAGAATAAGTAGATGTATTGTCTTCCTGCCCAGACTGCCCCATGTCTGTGTGGAGCATCTGGTCTCGGTGCTCCTGTGAGTCTCAGAGGCAGCAGCGTTATCGTGTTGCTCTCACCTCGGCCACCAGGGGCCAACAGTGCACTCCTGTGGAAACGCAGATCCGGGCCTGCAGTCTCAGTCAGTGTGATGGTGAGCTCATTAATCTTCTTCACATCTTAGCGATGCCTGGTGCTGATTAAGTCATTTTGAGTGATTGTGATTGTTCTATTTATTTATTTTATTTTTTTGTCCATAAGTGATATTACCAAAAAGCCACATTAATCATTGTCATTTCCCCATTTGCAGCCTGTGAAGCCCCGTTTGTTTACTTGGCATGTGGCGCTCCATGTGAAAAACAGTGCGCACTAACTGGCCGTGATGATTTGTGTTCGGGTGCCAGGGAGTGCACACCTGGCTGTTATTGTCCCGAGGTAAACAAACATTTATTCAGGCACCTTTATTTTTCTGTTCTAGCCATTTTTCCAGGAAGATGACAATACATGCGTTTATGTTTACTGCGATCGCTCTGTTTACACCCAGTAAAGCAAACCAGAGTAGAATCAGTCTTACAGTGTCAAACATTTACAGTTGAAGCCAAATGTTTACATACCTTGTATAGAAAGTAACACACGTTTTTTTTTTCCTCATTGACCAACATGAAATCAGACTAAACTGTTGTTTTAGGTCAGATTTCCAAAAACACTTTTTTTTATTTGTTTTGGCTAGATTTCAAACTAATGAGAGCTTCGGCTGATTTTTCAGGAACAGAATCAGGTTTATTGCTAAGTTTAGACAAGTTTACACTTAATGCAGGAGCTTAACAACAGAATAAACACACAAAAACAAAATGTTACACAGAGTTGTCACTAATTATTAAAACAAACACAAATAAAAGATTATGCAGAAGTATAAGACTAAAGTAAACGTGCAAAATATGGAATATGCAATTTTTTTAAATGTGAAAGTAAAAAGTGAAAAAGTATAAAGGCATGCCCATTTTTTTGGTGTTGCTATAACAAGAACGAAACATGTTCAAGTGAGTGATTAGTCTGACAGCTCATGTGAAAAAGTAGTTTATTTTTTAATTTTTTGGGGGAGGGTACGTTAATAAACTGGTTCTGATGGACTGTAACCTCTGGTTAGAAGGAAGTGGTTCTTGAAGCTCATTTCCAAGGTGAGAGGGATCAGTGGCAATTTTCCTGGGCCGCCTCAAGGTCCGAGGGTTCTGAAGAGGGGTCAGCTGCAGCCGATTGTCCTTTCAACAGAACTGATGACTCGCTGCAGCCCTGCTTTGTGTTTGGCAGCGGCAGCAGCAGCGTACCTGACTGTGATGGAAGTGAAGGTAGATCCAGTGATAGAGGAGGAAAAAGGCACCATCATTGTCTTTGGCAGGTTGAGCTGAAATGTAGGGTGGTAGTAAGGAGGTAGAAGGATTGCACCGTCTCCACTGGGGAGTTATTCAGATTGATGAGGGGCTACAGGAGCAGTTTCTCTTGAAATCCATAATCATCTCTTCTGTTTTTATAACACTGAGCTCATGGTTCTGGTTACCAAACTAGGTTTAGTTAAAAGGGATGGGGCTTTGGCAGTTACAGCCCGCTGACACTGGAACTACCTGCCCCTTGATGATAACACCACAGAATTTATAGCAGGGGTGGGCAATCCTGGTCCTCGAGGGCCGCAGCCCTGCATGTTTTATTTTTTCTCTGCTCAAACACACCTGATCTGAATGAATGGGTGATTGTCAGGCTTCTGCAGTACGGAGGACCGAAACTGACATAATTAAAAATAAAAGTGGAAATATGTAAATTGACTAGTAAATAAATAAAAACGCTTAAAGTGCACCAATATAATTCAAAAAGGAGACTTTTATTTAA